CCGCGCCCTCCTCACCGCTGTCTTGCCCCTTCCAGGTTGCAAGAGGAGATGCTTCAGAGGGAGGAGGCCGAGAACACCCTGCAGTCCTTCCGACAGGTTAGCGGGGGCTGGAGGGAGGGCGCGGTAGGAGGGGAGAGCCCGCGGAGGCGGCGGTGCCTGGGACAGAGGGTGGGGCTGCGGGACTTTGCTTTTCCTCGCACAAAGAGATTCCGGCGGTTCTCACGCAAACGCTCCGTGTTTTCTTTCGGGGGATGCTGCGGTCTGAGGGGAGGGGAGGGAAACTATTGTCCTGCTTTATCCAAGTCTAGCCTGTTTTACAAAAAAACGCTCCAACGTGGAATCGCTTTCCGATCCAATAAAAGCGAAAGGGGGCCATCTGCTCGCTTGGCTGAAGGGTATTAATGGTTTCTATGGGATTCACCGTGGAATGCAGATACAGGCATTATGGCAAGTGTGGCGGCAGCAGATTGAAATAATAGATCCCTTTGTGTTGGAGGGGAGGGCGCAGTGGGCTGCATTCTTACTGAATGTGTAATGGTGCAGGCATATTTCTAGTGAGATGTGTCTGTCATGTATGTGGTCCAGTTTTTATACAAAACAGAGCTCGTTTTTGATGAATCACTTTGGTCAGTGCGTTACTGGGCAGCAGTTTCAAGTTTAAATGTTTTTTAACATTATTAGCATAAACAGTTCAAGCTTAAAGTTCATGTTGGTTTTGTCTGCTGACAAGAAGTAGACAATTTGTTCCTTGGAGTGGGATCACAGCAGCGGGGCCTGCCTCCTCTGGGTGTCTGTTGAGAACATGGAATCTAATGCTCTTTAGAACAAAGGTGTTAACCTAGGAAACAAGTTACGCTAGAGTTTAGTCTCCATAGGATGCTATGATGTTATCCAGATAAACTAAAACCTACGTGACAACCAGAACCAGCTGTGCAAACAGTGCTCAGAAATTGTTAAGCTCAGGTTTTCACTTGTGCAAAACTTGCTTTCAGCTTGGATTAAGCCTTGTTTGGACTAGGAGATATTTAGGAATGTGCCTTCTCAAAACAAGATCTCTTCCCTAAAACTGCTGGTGTAAAACAGCATTGCTAGCATTCCTCCAGGCTGGAAGTGACTGCCTCTATCTCCAGGCAGCTGGGCACAGGCTGACTTTGTCCCAAAGCTCTTCATAGGCATCAGTAGAAGTCATCATTCAGGAAATCATCACTTGTTAGTCAGCGTTTCCCAGGCAAGGCTTTTGACTGCAGTATATTTATAGTCCTTGAAGGAGAGCAGGTGTCTCTATGAGATAACATGTGGAAACTGAAACAGCTACTCTCCCATTCGGAGCTTGGGAATTCAGTCTCCACTGGCATACTGGGGACAGAAGTTTGAAACAGGACAATTTCACATACTGCCTTAATTTAAGCTTCTGGGTTTTTTTTCAGTACTAAACCAATTTAACATGCTGTGAAGTTCCATGCAGAGACACTTAATCATAGAGTCATAAAGTTTGAAAGAGTCCTTTAAGATAATCCAGTCCACCTGTCCTCTTAGCACTACCACTGTCAAACCCCTAAGTCACTAAACCATATCACCCAGCACCAGGTCCAGATGCCTCTTAAACACCTTCAGAGATGGTGACTCCACCACCTCCCTGGGCAACCTATTTCTATGCCTGAAACTTAAGTTTTGAAGAACCTGATCTATTCTGATTCATTGCTGAATTCATCGAATTCTGTTGAAGGATCCATTGACTTAAGTCTGGCTTTTACAAGATCTTTCATACTTACTTGGTGAACTTCAGGCATATCTATGTTTCAAAACAGATGAACTTTTTGAAGACACTAGGCTTTAAAGTGAACTTGGTTTTGTGCATATCCCACTCTCATTATCCAGCTCTTCCCTGCAGTGTGGAAAGGGGTCATTCAAGAGCTCAGCCTCTAGCAGATAAGTGTGTGCAGTCAGAATTGGATCCATTTAACCTCCTAAGGTGCAGCTTATGCATGAAAAATGCAAATCATCTGTGGAAAATCTAGACATTAAATCCACTCATGACATAACTGGTCCATGCTAGTGTTTGATTTGAACAACAGTAATACCTCACTTGTCTTTACTGGGAAGGGTAGGGTTAACATGCAGGTTTTGAAAACTAGATTTGTTTCAGTATAAGTATTGTTCTCCTGAAAGTAAAATTAAATTTATAGAATATTGAAGTCTAAGTATCCTGTTGTGTTGTCCATTGTAAAAAAATGCACAGGTTTTTATTAAACCATTAAATTTTTCCACTGGAAAGTTGTTTAACATGGATTCAGAACACTTCAGCAGATATTTTGTTGTTCTGATTTAGCATCAAAGCTAATTTTTACTTGATGGAGCAATTGAATCTCCTAGGATAAAATCAGTGCATCATCCAGTTGCATGTATCTATGACTTATACTTCGTTTGCTCAGGCTGCAAGTAACTTAATCATTTGTGTGGTTCTCCATACATCTAAGAAATACTGATACGCTGATTGTTATCTATAGGGAGTATATAAATGATAGGACATAGTAAACTACATACCATATATTCTAAGTGTCTTCAGTTGAAGATGCTTTCAGTTTATTATAAGGTCCTAAAAATCCTGTAGCTATTTAATTGTTCTGAAAAAACATTAATAGTCTTCAGGGTGCAGATTCCTGTAAAATCCACTAGAAATCCTTTGTGTGTCTGGCCAATTGTGTAAACATATTGGGTCACAGCCATGTAATTTTCTGCCAGAATGATCTTCAGGTTTTTTAGGGGGGAGGAGTACAAATGAATTAGGAAATTCTTTCCCTGAACTGAAAGACAGCCAATATGAACTGTGGGTGTAAAACTGGCATTGATAGGGAAGTTATGAAATAACACATCAAAGGAGTGTTTTGCTAGATAAAAAAACAGAAGAATTCATCTGAAGCAATGACCTTACCCCAGGGTAGGAGTGATCCAAGGAGAGGCTTTCTAGGAGTCTAAAGAAAACACTCCTAATTTCAAAGGTGCCATAATAGTGAGAACTGCTGATTAGGAATGCTTATGCTTTGGGCAATCCAAAATGGCTTTAGAGTAAGCTGAGCAAACCTGCTACGTTAATTCCCTGAGCACAAGCATGCGACTGTGTATGTAACCAGTGTGAAAGGAACAATCATCTCCTTTGCAAACTAATTGTCCTACACTTTCAAAACATAAGAAGTTACCAATCAATGTTTAGTGTTAGTTTATGTTTTTGAACTAATTTAAGCTGCTCCTGTGTAGCATTCGTGACGTGTCTTCTGTTATGCCCTAAATGAATTTTTGCTGTTGATTAAGACTATCTCTGTCCAGCAAAAGGTGGGGGCTTTGCCAGCAGCTGTGAGGGTGTAGGCAACGATGAGTAACTCGATTGGTGTTTATGCTCACGCTTTCACAAGGGAGATCTGTTGAACCACTTGAAGAAGTAAATGCTCCAGTTCCTATACCTTACTAGCTTTACAAGTATGTTTTAAAACTCTGGTCTGTCCACCTAAAGGGCTCTGTGGTTGGTCACCAAGGAGTCCATAAATTAAGCCCACTGATAGGGTACATGGATTGCACTTCTAGGTCCCACTGGAAAGAATAGAAATTTTCAAATTGCAAGACTAACTGGTTTTCAGTATAGTCAGGCTAGAAGCACTTACTGCTGACTTCTGACCCAAGTGCCTGCTTCATATTCAAGCAGGATTTATACCCACTGTGATCTATGTGCTCTTGATCGTGCTCAGCAGTATGTCAGCAAAGATGAAGTAATCTACATATGCTGTATAGTTCGTAAAATTGCCAGAAAGGTCCATATAATGGTTTCAGGCTAGGGTAGGAGATGGCTACAAGATTTTTTACAGCTTTTAATTTCTTACTGTCTCGCCAAAAAGCTCAGATGTAGCATCACTCTGTATGCAGATGAACTTGCTGTAAAGGACTTTTAATTTCTTACTGTCTCGCCAAAAACCTCAGATGTAGCATCACTCTGTATGTATTCTTTACATCAGTTTTGTAAGACTGTGAATCATTCTTCTCTCTGGTCAGGATGTTGACAATGCCTCTCTGGCACGTCTTGATCTTGAGCGGAAAGTTGAGTCCCTGCAAGAGGAGATCGTCTTCTTGAAGAAGCTTCATGATGAGGTAAGCTGAATAATGAGGTTTGTGTTTAGATGCTGAGTCTAGCAAGCAAGTGCTTTGCTGGTTCTGTCCCAGAGTCCCCACCTGTGTATGTTCGGTATGTTTTTGTGCAATAGCATTGACTGTCTGCTTCTCTCTATAAGGAAATCCGAGAACTGCAGGCCCAACTGCAGGAACAGCACATCCAAATTGATATGGATGTTTCTAAGCCTGATCTTACTGCTGCCCTGCGTGATGTTCGCCAGCAGTATGAAAGCGTTGCTGCTAAGAATCTTCAGGAAGCTGAAGAGTGGTACAAGTCCAAAGTAAGTAAAATGCATCTGGCACTTTAAGTGTATGTAACTGCTTCGCTGTAGCATTTGGTGTTCCCTCTGTCTCTCTGCTGGGTATGAACACAGCCATGACACAAGGAATTCTTTAAATTCCTAGTCTGGGAGGAGTACAACTAAAAGCATTTTATGACAAAAGTAGAGCATCAAAGTAATGGGTTCTTACTTGGAGTCTTTCCTGTGCTTGTACCTGAAAGCAGATGTTGGATGAAGTACTGTAGAAAGGAAGGAATGAATGGGTGCAAGAACTGAAAATATGGGGAACATACAGGATGGAGAAACAAGTATGAAAGTTAACTGTGAATTGCAATTTAACAATTTAGAAGTAGACATTTTAAGGGTAATGCTAATATTTAGAAGTTTCAGGTGTTAAGGCTTTGTAATGGCTTCCGTTGCCCTCAAATGCTGTGTCCACAAAAAAAATCTGTTTCACCATTTCTGTTGAAGTGTTATGCTAATCAAACCGGGGATTTCCACAGTTTGCAGATCTCTCCGAAGCTGCTAATAGGAACAACGATGCCCTGCGCCAGGCCAAACAGGAAGCTAATGAGTACCGCAGACAGATTCAGTCTCTCACCTGCGAAGTTGATGCTCTTAAGGGAAGCGTAAGTAGACGACAGCAGTTCTTTCCAACTTTCTTTCCATTACAGCTTTAAGCACTCCACTGCAGTTTAATTGTTAATAAAGATGTGGATACAGATGGTCTCCCATGCAATACATCAGCATATCAGTACTTTTTTAGGAGGATGCTATGGATTCAATTTTCCTGCATGCATGGTTAGAACTAGCCTTACTTAAGCTATAAACAATGAGTTCATTCTCTTGCGGTAACATTCGCTGTTTACATAGCACTTTCTGGAAGTGTTTATGGCTTGTCTGTCAGGTACAGCTGAAGCTGTAAAAAAAAGCTGGAGGAGCAGTGGAAAGAAGGTGCAAATTTGCTGTTGCTAGAACCTGACCACCTTAAAGGCTGGATTGAAATGGATTTAGCAGTGTTTCGTACACCTGCAAATACCCTCACTGAGGACTGCCTGCATGCTAACTTGTACTGCATGTGTTGGGCTTACTATAAGGGGTTGCTTTGCCGCCTGGTAGAATAAATACATGGCACACCTCATATCATGTAGCAGAATAACCCTCCTTGACTTTACAAGCTGAAGATAAGGAGATTATAAATTTGGGACATGTTTGGGTATTTTCAGAAAGGATGCTAATGTAGCACAACTTTACTTCTTAAAATGTTAAGGGTCTTAAGGGTGGGGAAGAGTGGCTGAACTGCAGCAGTGCTTTACTTCATTGTTCTCTTCCAGAATGAGTCCCTGGAGCGCCAGATGCGTGAAATGGAGGAGAATTTTGCTGTTGAAGCTGCTAACTACCAAGACACTATTGGCCGCCTGCAGGACGAGATTCAGAACATGAAGGAAGAAATGGCTCGCCACCTGCGCGAGTACCAGGACCTGCTGAATGTAAAGATGGCTCTTGATATTGAGATTGCCACCTACAGAAAACTGTTGGAGGGTGAAGAGAGCAGGTAATCACACACAGACACTTCTAAACACATTTACCAGAAGGCACTCTATACCCATGTCTGACTTTGTCCATTTCTTTTTTTCCTTCAGGATTAACATGCCTATTCCAACCTTTGCTTCTTTGAACCTGAGAGGTAAGCTGTTCCTGTTATTTCAGTTTAGACAGTTGTTCTGTCTCATTAGCAAGAGGGTTTTGGATATTTCCTTTAACACTGGTATTTGAACTTGTATAAGGGCAGTTGGTTGTGAATGTTTTTATTGGATATAACTACAATATTTGCAGTTACTTAACCTTGGATGAGAGGAGCTCTTTTGTTCCTTTTAAAATATCATTATGTAGCAATTGATTAATTTAGATACCTAATGAAGGTGCTTTGAGGGGAATGGGGAGAAAATGCAGAAGACTGGCTTATTCAGACTTCTTTGTGTCTCAAACTGGAATTCTGAAAGTAGACACTAAAATCTGTTACACCTCATTTCTTTGAGGAGACACTTGATCTAGGCTATCGGTAATAATACATTTTCTTCTGCAGAAACCAACATTGAGTCTCAGCCAATGGTTGACACTCACTCAAAGAGGACACTTCTAATTAAGACTGTCGAAACTAGAGATGGACAGGTTGGTGGTAATTTTAATTTTATTCTATCACAGCTGGTTACCTTCAAATACTAAGTTTGTCTTCTGGTTAGCACAGCCTGTATATGGTAGTAAATGTTGAGTAGAACAGCAACTGGCAGTCCAAGCTGTGTGACTGAACATAGAGTTGTAGCAAACAGGCTTCCTTGGAAAAGATCATAAAATTCATCTTATAGCAAAATCTTACGTGTCTGACAGTTACCTGTGTATTGAGTATTTAAATTCATCTGAGTTAGAACGTTCTCAAGAGATTACCTTAGGAAAATATGTGGCAGTAAACAGGGGTCCTTTACTTTTTTGGACAAAATGCTGTTGTCAGTCTAAGTCAAAGCTTAAATGTTTTCTGCACACTATTTACAAACTAGAACTTGTCATTTACAAGTGAGGGCTGATAGCCATTTGTTCACATTTTTGTGGTACTGGGTGTTCCACTTCTAACTCTAAAAAAACACCCACAATTTTCCTCCTAAAACTTAATGCAAGTGTCTCTATTTTTCATCAGGTTATTAATGAAACTTCCCAGCATCATGATGACTTGGAGTAAAGCTGAAGTGAAGATGCATACTTACTAATGCAGGAGAAATTCTTACCAGCAAGATTGAAAAAGTCCATGTCTTAAAGGAAGAAACAGCTTTCAAGTGCCTTTCTGCAGTTTTTCCATGAGCGCAAGATGATTATGCTAGGAAATAGGTCTTAGATCTTGCAAACTGACTCTCCCTGAAGGATTAGAGTTTACAATGGAGTCTAGTTTACAAATAGCAATATCTTGTGCTGCAATACTGTTTTTAAGTATCTGAATTCAATAAAACTGCTTTTTTCCAGCACAGTATGAGCAACCTGTCGCTACTTCAATAAATCTTTGGAAAATGGCTCTTGATGTGTTTTAATTTGTTAACTTCATGACTTTCTGGAAAGCCATAACAACATAATGCTGGAATTACTATACGGTTGACATCTCTAGTACTGGCTGTGTGGAATGCTGTTTTTTCAGTTTAACTAGATAAACTGTCTTGCTCATTTACTGCTTAGGTTTTGGAACCAACTAAAATGGACTATAACTGGCAGATGCATAATGTATTATGATCTTTCTTATCACTTGAATAAAATATGATACTTCAAGCTAATAAAAATTAATCTTGCTTCCATATACTAGTTACTAAGAGCTGAGAATGCCCCAAATATTTTTAAAAAGTGGCTTTATAAAACATAGTAGTTATGTAGCAGAGAAATAGATCATGTGAGCCCTTATCTCAGACCACACTTGCACTGACTTCATTTTCCAGGAAAGACTGGTACCCAAAGGCTTGTCTGTATTCCAGAAACGAAATGAAGACTTCAGCTGGAGTGGGGATTAGGAAAGAATAACTTGCCTTATTGCTGACTTAATTCCAGTGTTTAAAACCCTTTCAAACAAAAAAAGAAAAAAAAAAGGAAAAAAGCCAGTATGCTTAGTGTTCTCTGCTGAACATCAGTATAAGTGCAGCAGAATGGGAAAGAGAAAGCTCCCATCTGGCTTGCCATAGTCTTTTGGGAGGCAGAAATGCAACACTTAAATTTTCTTCTGCAGGGAAAGATACTTCTCAAATTTAAACACAATCAAGACCACAGTGCAGCCCTATGAAAGTAGCTACTCTGTTCCTCATCACTCCTGTAAAGTCTGCTTCCTGTAAGATTTAACTGAGGTGCAGTTTTTGTGGCATGAGTAAATGCAAACTGGAGTTGTTCTGTAAATATAAATAGCATTCAGTGTTCCTTCAAGGTAAGGGTAGTAATTCCATGTTGTACAGACACTCTCACAAGCACTTGGGAACTGTTCTCTAAGAAAAAATTATTGTTATGCCCATCCTAAAGGGATGAAAAATTATTTTTTTTCCATCCTTACTTCTTCCCTGTGCTCGAGTGTGTGACTAACTGGGTGCAGTGCAGGCACTAGAGTAAGAGGGCAGTAGGAGGCTGCTTTTCATCCCAGTTGCCTGCAGCAGCAGGTTAGGAAGTCTGCAGACAGGATGCTGAAGAGGGAGGTGGGCAGCACCTGGGATGTGCTGGAACTCTATGCAGCTGACACACGGGCATCCCACAACCTGTGTGAAGGTAGGGGCCTAGGCATGATGGCAGTTTACATCTTTGAGCCACCCAGGGAGAAGTACTGAAGCTGTTCTTCACAACAGGAAAGTGCCTAAATTTTCAAACAAGGCATAGTGCTGCTGTCCCTACCCCACTTTTCTCTAGAAAGTGTTCACAGAGGACTTCAGCCTCTCGCTTCCACCTCTGGACAGGCCAGAGGGGAGTTTTCCCTGTTCCTGGGCTGCTGTTCAGCAAAACATACAAATCCATTAGGGTGGGATATGTCCCTATTCAGCTTGGTGCTTTAGGTGCTTACCCAAGAGGAAAGACCTGCAGCTGATCCTGCATTTGTTCTGCTGACTCTTCCTTACAAAAGGGCTGGAAGTGACTCTAGGGAGAGTGCCTGGAGCCAAACCTTAGCCACTGCTTCGTGCAAAGTGGAACAGATTCAACCTGGTCCACAGCGTGGTGAGTAGGATAGTCTCACTAAAAACTGAAAGAATGAACCTAGCTTCTTACATGCTGCAGAGATTACAGGCACCAGCTTTTCTACTACCTTTCAACATCCAGAATGAAAAAAAGAAAGCACAAATGAGCTTGCATGGAAAATGCTTTGTGATAGTGACAGCTCTGGGCATGTGTAATCACTCATTTTGAACACTTAATAGGCATATGTGTCTACAATCTTTCAGGATAAGGGGCTGATATCCTGCTTATTGCAGACTGCTGAAGTCTTACTCTGGATCTGGGCATTTAAAAGGCTGGGCCAATGCTTAATGTAATTTCTTGCAGCTGAAGCAGTGTGTGAGTCCTGCATCTGACAGTACGTGGGCAGCTTCACCAGGAGACACTGGGGACCCTCAGTGGCTCTGGCCAGACACCCACAGCACAGTGTGCTGTTTGAAATGCACATTGACTGCTGGAGGTTACCTGAATTGCAATAGTCTTTCAGATGTTGCTCTCCCTCTGCCGCCAGCAACCCGTCTCACTGCTTTCTGTTGCCTTTGATTGCTTCACTCAGTAGATAAAAGAAGCGACTGTATTAAGCACTGGCAGTGCAGCAAAGGAGTTATTCCTGGCTCTTCTGGGTTTGGGGTTACTCTGAGCACAGAGAAGCATGTGGCAGAGCTTTCAGTCCTGTGAATAAATAGAAAAACAAATAAAAATAAATAAATCTAGTTGCCAAGGGGATAGGAAGATTGCAGGAAACCTCCAAAGCCTGTGCTCTGTGTAAGTGCGAGAGTACCCTCGTGTTGGAAAGGAGAGCCGATGGGGACTGTGTAAACTTCTGTGTTTGATCTAGAGGCACCAGCCTTATGCTCATATATAATTACTGCAAGCTGCTTAGTGCTGAGCCAGCAGCTGACCTCAGAACTGCATTTCCCCTAATAACTGCAGCCCCCAGCCGTACCAAGTGGGACAGCCCCACCAATGGCTGGGGCCTTGTCCTGGCCAAGCACCGCGAAACTGCTACCGTGAGCTTACATAGCATCTACCTCCTGATGTGTGAGCTGTTCCCACAGCAAACAATGTTAATTCTCCAGATAACTAAGAATCCTCATATTTACTTCATTTTGCCTCATGTAGCCAGAAGCCCCCTTCCCTTCCCTTCCCTTCCCTTCCC